AAAGAAAGGAAGAAGAACGGGAGGAAGTGGGGTGGAGAGAGTTAAGAAGAGAGGGAAGGTTTCTGTGGAAGTGCACCTTTATGTGAAGCTGTGTTGGGTATATGATAAAGTCTATTTTATTTCGGTGGGGGTTGGGGGATGTTGAATGCTTGATCAGGCTTTTTTTTTTCAACACAGAGAAAGGAAGAAGAAAGGCCTGTGTAGAATTATTATCATTTTACCGTCAGACAATAAAGCAGTTTTTCTTTCTTTTCTGTTAAAATTCAAAGCCTTCTCGCCTTTCCAGAGAGAAATAGTGTTAGTACTGTGGCAGTTTCAGTTTTGAGCCAGAGAAGTCATTTAAGGGAAATGTGAAACATTTCTTTAAGAATGACCATATAATTTAAAGTCCCAAACGACTACATTAAGGGTTTAGTTAATATTGTGCCTGCATTGAAGCAGGAGAAAAGAGGCAGAACTGTTGACACGCAGTCGTGCTGAATAGAAACCCAGAGGGGGCTGCAGAGTCGGCTTTCTTTTTCCTTCCTCGAGAGTTGGGTCTGAGTGTTGCTGTAGCTCCTCAAAGTTGAGGAGCCTGGGGCTGAATGAATAAAAGGTTCATGTTTCCCTGGCTACTAAACTCAAGCACAGTGTAGAGTGAGGCCCCTCTCTTCATCTCACTAGTGGGTGCAACATCCCTTGAAGCATTAATTGCATGGCTTATTAACAACTCTGTAGTCTCCTCTTCATCTAGAGGAGCAACTGCCATCATGTTCCAGGAAGGCAAGTATTAAGGTTTTTCACTTATATGCAAATGCCCCCAGCAATTTGGTTCTTCCACACATCCAGCAAACCTGTTGGGGGCATCTTCCATGTCCCTCCAAAGCAGTCTGCTAGCCAGACCACAATGAACATAATGATTGCTGTAGAAGGGGGGCTATTTTCTTCTTCTCACATTTTATTTCCCCTCTGGGGGATGAGGAGTTGACAAACCTAACTACTAAGACACCGGAAAGGAACTTTGCCTGTGTTGCTTAGCCTCTTCTTGCCTCTTGATTGGATCCTGACAGTGTGTGTTCTTTCTTGCTTTGCATAGCCAATGCCTTGCCTGCCTCCCTCCATGATGTGTAGGGGGAGGTGAAGGGTAGTGGGCACCAAATGGTGAATGGGGATGTAGCTTCTGTTTTATATGTAAGAGGTAATTATGGAATAAGGACTCAGCTTATTTCCCTTACATGACTTACCACTGATAAAGGTAACATTGTTTCCCACTTGATTTCTGTCTCAGTTGATTCCCATCTTGAAACGGGGAGGCATGTGAACATTGGCACCCTTCTAGCTTCTGTCTTCAAAAAGCTCAGTGTACTCAGGAAGACAGATCCACACACTGGTAATCAGCCAGTGATAAGGGTGATAACTATAAAGTGCTTTGGCAGCCCACACATGCTACATCTAACTAGGGAAGGTTTGGATTAATAGGAATGAGTTGTGGGAAACAAAATATAGGCCTTCAGTGTGGTTGGGATATACAGTGGGAGGAGAGAGCAGGAGGACATAATACTACAGAGATATGCAGAGAGCAGGTAATTGAGGACTTTATAGACTTCTGTGGAGGAGTTTGAATTTTATCATGAGAACAGTGGGAGCTTCTGTGCAGTTTTTAAGGAAGGGAGTAAGTGAGTGAATTGATCAATTTTAGAAAGGTTGCTCTAACTTGATATAGGGGCAAGGTTAGGGGGAAGCAGGTTTGGAAAGCAAAAGCATTTTAGGAGAATATTACATTTATTCAAGGTGGGACTATTTCAGCATGAACTAATGTATTTGCATTGGTAAAAGTAGTCATATTTAAGAGACATTTAGCCGGTAAAATGGAGAGAAGTTGGTGGGTAATTAAGTAGGTAGGGTAGGTCAAGGAAAGGGACCTTGACCACTTCCAGGTTTCTGGCTCACACTTTGGGAAGATGGTATACCTTTCATGAAAGATGGAAAGTTGGAAAGGAAAAAACAACAACAACAAATTTTGAATGGAAGATGGTGATTTTAGCTTTGTACTGTTGAATGGAGATGTCAAGGGCCTATCCAAGGAGAGTCAGGCATGCGTTTTAGGGAGAGATCTGGAATGGAGGTGATGGATGTAGTCATCAGCCTACACAAGACAGGTGAAATGCATAGAATAGGAGGAGCAGTGTGTGGAGGACAGAACTTCCAGAAACACGAGCAACACATTTAGGCAGAGCAAAAGGAAGCAACAGAATCAGAGAAAGGATGGTCAAGGGTATAGAAAGCAAACCAAGAAAGAATGCTCCATTTGGCCTATGAGGTGAATAAGGGTTCACGAAAGGGTTCTTGGCAAGTATTGAGAGGTTATTTGCATTTTGAGGTCACTAAGGGTATGAGCTGGATTGGACATGAATCTTCTTAGTGAATCACCTCAAAGAGAAGTCTATAATGTTTCTTTATGACTTTCCTTCTTCTGTGGTCAGACTTTACTTTGGCCATCCTTAAAATAGCACTAGCCAATTATGGGCAGTTGGTAGAAGATGAGCACCCAAGTAAAAATTTCTGTCCATGTCTAGAGACCTTCTATTAACTGCAATGTAAATCGATTTCCATGACCCTACAGCCCAGGAACTGCTGGGCTGGTATTTGCAAGGGTGGTAAGTAGTGCTTCCATTTGTTTTCTCCAAAGGCATTCCATTTCCCTTTGCACTTTATCCAGCCCAGCACTGCACAACAGAAACACCTGCAGAGCTTGCAAACACTGTGGATGGCCCGGGCCCCACTCCAGTCCATCTGTATTAGACTCTCTGGTGGTGGGTGGCGGAACACAGGCATTGACATTTTTTAAAAGCTGCCCAGGAGTTTCTAATGGGTGGTCAGAACACTGAACTACTGATCTAGACAGGCTCACACTCCAAGAGTCATTAACCCTCAGTGAGCTAAGTTACAAATCTTCCACAAAGCATAAATTCTTCTGATCTGAAATGATTATCGATAGTATAGAAAGTGATTTTTCTCTCACCCTGAGTCTTTCTGCTGTAGGGTAAGCGGTGGCATCCTTTATGGAAATGGACACACCCACAGAGGACTGGGACAATGATGCCTGGGCTCATTTGCTGGGCTCCCCTCTGCCTCTTGCTCTATGCCCTTATACACAGCAGTGATGGTACCTGAAGAGGCACGGTGGAGATTTTGGCAAAGTTTGGCAGATAAGTCTCAGGGAATTGGGATCGGCTATGTTCACATCACTATGAAGTTTCTTTTAGCCAGTTTTCCAGTGCTGCCCATGTTCTGGCTCTCTCATGTTCTTAGACTGGCTTTTATCTAGACAGAAGTTAAAGGTGATGGGCTGGGAGTTGGAAATCTCCTTCAATCATGACAAGTTATATTTTACATTAGGAAAATATTTTGGAATTTAGCACTATCCTGTACAGCTTAAGTAATTTGAAATCCCAATGAATTAAAAAATCAATATGCTCTAGTAATAGGCTGGTCTTCTATCTCTATCTATAGTCACTCAGATATTGTGACTCGGACATTTATTTTTATTATTTCTGCTCACATGGAATGTGGCTGTAATGCCTGCTCTTCAGTTCTATGGGAACATGTCCAGGTGGGCACTGGAACCCACAGGCAGGTCCCAAAGGCCACAATAGGGCAAGAAGACAAGCTTATCTTTTGCCTAAGATACACTAGCCTTTTCACCCATAGACATTGTCAATTTTCTGCTTTGCAACAACCAAATGGGCTTCACCTAACACCCAATGCATGTTGTAGTTCATCAGATCCACTCATCGTCTTTCCCTTGCTTTTAACTCAAAGAATGCAGAAGAAAGGTTATTAAATCCTTTTCTAAGGGCAAAATACATAGAAAATCTGTGTGAGTCAGTAATGCTCTCCAAGAATTTAAGTAAATTTGCTATGCTTGATCTCATTGTTATGGAGCCAAATTTACCACTCTTTACAAGATAATACACAACAAATTTATTCAGCACACACAACTCCTAATATTCCCTCCTGCTCCCAACAATAGGAGCTGAGCTTCTGGCTTTAGCTCACATTTTTCTGAATAAGAGGGAATGTATGGACAATTTTTTATCCCTTTCTCCTGTGCCTGGAATTTCAACCACATCCCCAGAAGGTTGTCCAGCAGTTCTCCCCAAAGGCAAGTGTTTCTACTAGGTCTTCATGTTTACCAAGGTTTGACACTGTACGAAGTCTCACTTTAGACAAGTGTACACTGGGAAAGTGTCTTATAAGTGACTTGCACACAGGTAAAATTGATTGCAAGTTTGATGATTTTGCCTTTTCTTATTTGGACTTAGTGTCATCATAATGATCTTTGTTTTTTGAACATTTGTTTACTGAGCATATGGTATATTATACATAAGATATCACTCCATTAGTCCATGTAATTCTCAAAGTAATCCTACAGTATAGATATTATCAGCTTACAGATGATAAGACAGTGCCAAGAGAGTTTATAATTCCTGTATAAGATTAGAATTAAAATCCAATCAGTCCATATCTTCATTTATTTGATTGAAAAGTTCATATGGAAAACTAAACAGAGCCTTTTACACAATGATCCATGTTCTTCACCGTTCAGGACAACAGCATTTTTGCTCTGCTTTCATAAACATTTTTGTTCACTTGTGTCTCAAAAAAAAAAAAAGTGGGTGGCGTAAAGAGCCCTCAGGGAAAAGGGCTTAGGTGCCACCCACCAAGCCAGATTTTCTCCAGCACCGTACAGACTCACCCATTGCATTTGGCATTGAAGGGAAATGAGGAGGAATTAGTTAAGCAGTGTCCAGAAGACAGAATGGGAACCTGTATTTCTCACAAAAAAGAGAGACTTTGTCAGTTCAGAAACAGGAGAACAATCAAACACTCTGTGTTCAATCTGGAAGCCTCTGTAACAAATGCCCCAAAGCCAGAATCTCCTGTCCAGAAGAAACAGAGCTTCTATTCTGTTCAGTGCCTGGAGCTCAGAGCCTAGAATAAGGTGGGAGGAGTGATTATTTTTCATTGAATAAATTATGCTTTCTACTTTCCTATTTCCCTGGGGCTCTTGAAGAATCCATATGCGTTCAGCAGGAGTGTGAGGATTCTGGAAGCACAGTAAGTAGAATGTGTGGATTCCAGGAGCAGAGGCAGCAGCCCTTCCCGTGTGCTAGGAGTAGGATGGGACGGGGGAGGCTCTCAGATTTTGCTGCTGAGCAGTGTGGAGAGCACTCAGTGTAAATTAATCTTGAGAGAGTGGAGTGGAAAACTGTGTGTGTGTGCCTTGTGCCTGCCAAGGGTTTGTATGTAGGAGTCAGGCTGGCAGCCGCTGAAGAAGAAGCTGAGAAAGTCAGTGTGGTGTGTAGGAGAGCCTCAGCTCTGGGGCTCATCCCCAGCTCTGCCCTCTCTAGCTTCATGAATGGAGACCAGTAGCTACACCCTTAAACATCAGTTTTCTCAACTGTGTGTTTCATCCATTCAGCAAGTATCTATTAAACCTTGATTTGTGCCAGATTCTTTGCTCCAAGTTACACACCTTCCAGAGGGTCAGCTGAGATAGCTTTAAAGGCCTTTGGAAGCAGATGCTATTTTTCTAGTCTTAGATTAAACAGTCTCCTGAGAGTTTCCTAGAAGACCTGTTCTACAAAAATCTCTCCTCTCTCTAAGTGCTCAGCAAAGGTTGTATTTAGTGCCCTGTTATTCATCCCTTTCCTTCTGAAGCCCTTATTAGATTTCAGGGAACTGTCGCTTTCATCTCCCACTTACTGGCTTCTCTTCATAGCATTGCTGAATCTCTAGGGACGGTCGGACAGACTAATTCAAGCCAAGTTATTTGTTATTGATTTGCATGCTTACACCTTTAATCTGCTACTCCTTCCAGGTAACATTTGCCTATTAACAGCAATTTCTAACACATTGATCCAAACATCAGTCTCAAGAAGGATTTGATAGTGCTTGAAAAGTCATTGATTACAAGGAAGAAATAAAGGGAAAGCACGTATCAGAAACTAATGCCATGGCTTTGAGTCTGAATGATTAAAGAAAGATGGCAATATTAGCAATTATGGGGGAACAAATCAAGCTTTTCCAAATCAATTTTTATTACTCAAATATTATATGTAGGTATTATACTAAAAATGTGGCAACCTTTGTTATTATTGGTTACTTCCCAATAAACTCAATTCTCTTCTTAAAGTAAAGACTTGTTAATTTGACATAATTTTTGGGGGGTCCTGTGGATTAACCCAAGGCTTTTCCCATGCTAGGTAAATATACTGACACAACTGAACTATATCCAGTCCTTGACATGTATTTTTATAGAGCTTTTTCATATACTTAAAAGCTTAGATTAGCACCCCAACGTGGTATCCTGTAGATGAGGTAACAGTTACTACTTTTCATGGCTATATAGGATTACACTGTAGTCATCCACATAGTGTATTGGTACATTATTCTCTGTTAACATACTAGGAGGTAGTTTCCTTTCTATGACATTGTAAATGGTATTTCATTAACTATTCTGGTTCTTGCTGGCTTTGAGCATGTGCAAAGCATGTTTCCCTAGGGTAAATAGGACATTGCAAAATTCACTGTCACATTGTCATTGGCTCAAAATGGCAGTGATTGTATACACAAGGAACTGATGGAATATACAGGGAATGTATGGAATATGCTGACCTGAAGTCTCAGCAAAGCATTTCTATCAAAAGGTTTGGGAGATGCTCAGCAAGAAGGCGTAGGTTTAAGATTGGAAATACAGGGATCTATCCGTGACTCCACAAACTCTCAGAGCATGTGAGGTTGTGGGGATAGATAATCAGAACAAAGGCTAAATGACTGGGTAAGGTATCAAAAACTTACTATCACACAGAGATGGGATCAAGAGTCTGAGTTAGGGTGAGAAATTCTATTGATCTGTTTTGCTATAATAATGTATTCGAGACTGAGTACTTACAAGAAAATAGCTTTGTTTACAAAGCTTACAGTTTTGGAGGGAGAAAGTCCACAGTCAGGGGGCAGCTGCTGGGCCTCTGGTGACAGGCAGGTAGTGTCATAATGGTGGCATTGCAGAGATTACAGGAAACCAGAGAGAGATGCAGGGGAGGAACTGGATCTCATAACTCGTTCTAACCTACCAAGAGACCAGCCGATCCTTTCCAAGAGTGACGCCCCTCAATGACCTATTCACCTTCTACTAAGACCTATATCTTAAGAGCTCCCTACTTCTTAACACCACACATTGCAGACCAAGTCTCCATCATGTCAACCCTTGGAGCATGGGCCACATTGAAATCATAATACCTACCAGTTCAGTTTACTGAAGCCGCAGAAGTTTCCAGGACATGGAGACTTTCAGTACTAAATGGGAAAAGTTCCAAACAAACCTAAATAAGTTCATCACCCTTCTGAGTGGAAGGATAAATTTCAAGAAGAGAGACCCTGTTTGCTCTAACATTATAAAAAAAAAGAAGGCCTACATCAAGTGACTTGTAGCAGCTAGAGAATTCGCTGGCGATTGGAGGGAACAAAATTTAGCTTCTTTGCTAGATACAGGTATTGAAGCCTTGGGTAGAGCCTTAAGGTCTATTGCTGTATGCTGATTTGGTTATAAGCTTCAGAAAATAGCTCGAGCTAATTTTGGCAAGAGTGAGTTGATTGTAACATTATTAGAGCCACAGAAAGCTGCAAAGCTGGAGAGTTGGCTTTGTAATACTACCAGTTAGGGATCAGAAGCACAGGTATCATGTTGTATTGAGACACCCTGGTTAATGCAGTGGTCTATAGATGCCCTGGAATTGTGAACACTTTCAGTTAAACATCCAAATGCCCTAGGGGAGAGTGAGTGTCCTGGTTACAGCCTCACATGACAAATCTAGGAGTACAGAGGATCACTTAAAAGGGAATTGTAGTGGTAAGGATGTAGAAGTTGATAACAGTAAAAAATACTAACAGAAGGCCGGGGATTTAGATCAGCAGTTCCTTGGCCTGCTTTGCAAGTGCAAGGACCTGAGTTCGATCCCCAGTATCAAAAAACAACAAAAAAACACTAACAGAGTCCCAGTATTAATCCCTAAAAACAGTTCATTTCTTGGACACTTCATGAGTTTCACGTCTATATTCATATGTACTGTGTGTGAATGTACAGGGCTATATTATATGCATGGTAGGTACTCAATACAATTTTGTCAGATATATGAGTCCTACAAAGGCAAACACTGTGATTAACAGCAAGCAGGATGGCTGTCACTTCTATATGAACCAGAGGCAAGGACAGCCCACGCTAAGGCATGGTCTCTGTCTTCACACGGGGGTTGCTCCCACAAGAGGGCATAGAAAATGTTCCAAACTTGCTGACATAAGTCTGCCTTATAGATATGGGTCACATTATATAACTGACATCTTCTTAAGAAGTTGTCCTTAAGCCTATTTTTTGGAAAGAGTCGAGTTTTAGATTCAGGGAGAGAATTTACTGGTTGAATATTGCACAAATATTACAGAAAAATTTTAAATCGTCTAGAATTCATTTTATAAATGTAGGTTTACTTTGTAGAGTGAATTTTTTAAAAGCAGAATTAATCCTCTTTTAGGGGGTGATTAGGCTAATACAAGTTACTTTTTAAAAAAATCTCTTCACTTCTTATATGGACTTTTAGAGTCGCACACCACCACTAATTGCTGACAAAGTGTTCCTGCAGAAAGGCCCTGGAGGACCACTTCGGAGACTCTCTGAAACCAATTGGTAATTGGTTATATCCATCTTTGTTCCAATGATGAGTGTGCTGAAGTCCTTAAAATCAGTTTGCTCTCCTAATTGCCTTAAATAGGATTTATGTGATCCATTGTACTTCACAAACCGTTTTGTCAGGAAATGTGATCATGAACTTAACTCCCAATTCAGAGAGCTAATGAACAAAAGGTTAGTGTCCTTTTTGGTAGCAGTCTGTAAGGATCCTTAACCTTGCAGCCACAGGCGGGAGTCTACTCAGTCTGAGCTGGCATGAGCCACCCCAAATTTCAACAAAGGAGTTTGGTCACACATTCAACCTCCTCTGGCTGGTATTTCACACAACCCGCAGGTCCTGTTTTGGCTCTAGGCGGTCCTGCATTTTCCTATTATAGACGAAATGTCTTGTAATTCTAGCCTGCATTCCTTCTGGTGACACAGTATTTACTTTCACAGTCCCCCAGCAAGTGGGATATGTGTCATTTTGACACTTGCCTTTCATTTTTTTAAAAAGTAATTTTATTGGTACATTTTAAGTATACAATGTAGTGACATTAACCACTGGAAATTTGCACCTTTGCATGATGTGTCTTGGTTCTTACCTTTCCCCATTCCCCCGCCCTCTATTCACTCCCTCCAACCTCCCTATTTGCAGACTTTGTTTCCATTTTTTTTTTCATTTTCTCAAATTGATTCCATTCCCTTCTTTTCTTTCCCCAGTCCCTCCCACTTCCCCTTCCCCTTCGGACCTTTTCTCCTTATTTCACAATGTCTATTATGTTCCTTGTTTCTGATGGTCATACAGGCTTCCAGGAAGTAGCCTCAATGCCAAGATCCTGAGTTCATTTAGAACATTCCTGGTGCTTGCCGATGAGCACTTTCATATACCTCAGGGTGCTTAAAAAAACTTGCAGTGAGATTTTTGGTAAGAATTCCAAGAAAAATAGCATCTGTGGCACAGATCCAACATAAAACTTTGTCAAAAATATGTTTCTGGTAGTTGGATTCGAGGTGTCCCATGACTTATAAGTTGCTGGCCAGGGGCCGACAAAGCTTCCAGTTCTCCCTTCAGCCTGGGTTTTGCCCATCTCCTGACATCCCAGAGGCTACAAGGGCCAGGCCGACTTAGCAGAAAGAGATCTCATTACCAGCAATACTGCTGACAGCTAAAGTTGGAGACAGTAAATACTTGGCAAAACTGCTGCCGTAACTCTTGCCAGAGTCCTTGCCAAACATCGTATGACGTTCTTTCTCAATGAACCCAATGTGACCCCGTAAATGTCTACTGCAGACCCACTGCCTCATTGTGGATGCACTTAGGAATTAAAACCTAAATTAAAACTGGCTTAGATCACAGGGGCTTAGACAGAGGATTTCAATATTTGGCAGTAGACAGGGTCTGATGACCTTGAACATTTCTTTGAATTCCGAGAACCTGTGATTCTGTAGCTGGGGGAAATGCAACATCACTCGTCAGTGTTAGTTCTCCTTTACATCAAAAGAAAATATGTATTTGCATAGAATGCATACTGTAATTTGCTTTAGCCTGATTCATTTTGGAGGCTGAAGCTGTGAAGGACCCAGAGTGACCTTGCCCCAATCAGCTCTTCTAGGTTAGGTGCCTCCATCTATAAACTCATCTGCTCTGCTACTATCGCTGTCACTCAGAATAAACTCATCAGCTGATCAAAGCGCTCCTCTTGCTGAAAACAAAATGAAATTTGAAAATCAAGGCCATGTTCTTGACACTTTTTGGGTGTCAAGCTTTTTATGAGGGGGACATATCAGTACTGGTGGGTTCTTGTGTCCTGCCTGAGTCCTGGAAGTCCGGCTGGCCTCTGGCTGCAGCTGAGAGGCACCAGGAGCATGGGAAAAGAAAAGCTCTTTCTTTGCCATGGAGAGTTAAAGCCCAAAGGGCTTGTACAGAATGATTACTTGGAATGTTGCAAGGGTCTTTTTATTCTCGTTCAGGTCAGCTTTGCTGATATCCAGAGGCTAAGTATAACTATAAGCATGTGAATTTCAATAAATATGTTTCCTTCAATTACCCAGCTGGACTGTTTAGTTCACCAGAGCCTGCAATCACACAAAAGCAGCCAGGGAATTGTCGTGATTTAGGTAATTTCTAACCTTCTCTCTGCTTAACCTGCAGGGGCTATGGGCAGCTTCAGAGACCAAGCGGGTGAAGACAGGAAGGAGGCAAACCTGTTCTCATCAGAGATACAGTTCCAAGCTCCTTCCCCAGGACTGATGGTTCATTCAAACAGAGGCTGACAAGCACTGTGGAAGGTGTGCTGGTGGGGAGTTGGGAAAAAGAGGCAAAGGCGGAGAATACGGAGTAGCTTGCAAGGATGACAAGATAGAACTGCTACACAGCTACACAGGGTGCTCAGAAACAAAAGAATCTCACTGAAGACTCAGATTGTAGCCTCTGATCTCACACTGAGTATTCCTTCTTCAAATTCCAGAAGGGCTTTGCTTAGTAAAGAGAGATCACTTTAACGTGTTATTCAAGAATGCAATTTAGTAGAAGGCTACTTCCGGTCACCATTTACCTGTGGTATCTGCTTGGCTAAGCTCATTAAACATGCAGTAGATGTCTACTAAAGTTGTTTAGTGATGATTAATACCAAAGAGTTCTTGGTCTTCATAACAAATCACACAGGAGGGTGCAGAACCAGCTGGAGTTTAAACTATTGTTGGAGGGCTGCGTCAGCCTCTGTGACCTTGGCACTGTTTGTGTGTGCACGTGAGGTCCTGGCCTTGTGGGATTCTGGACCTGTGAGAAAAGCTCTACTGACAGCAATGGTCTCTTGTCTCTCACTAATTACTTTTGGAGGCTGGGCAACTGTTTCCTTTCTGAAGGTTCCCCTGATTTCTTTGAGACACTGTTTCTTCCCTTTTAAATATAGTAATGGATTCATTATTGACATCCAGCCATTCCATGACCTGATCTGAGCCAAGTAGGTAATTCCTCCTTGGCAGAGAGACAAGACTCTTGGCACCATTGGAGTTCCAAAGCACTCCACTAGATGCTCCTGAGATAGGGATGTTCTGTGGTCACTTTTCTGGATCTGCTTTGGTTCCTGCTATGCCCAAGCCTGGCCTTCAAAACCGTTTAAGTCTTATAACCGCAATATCATTTATACTTCAGAGTTAAAACTGAAACCTGGGAAATTTAATATCTAGAGACCTGGCCAAGTTGACAGGGGACTTTATTTTTTAATGAAATTTGTATCAATCCCAGGACAAACACTTCAGAGATCACTGAATTCTGTTTTTATCTTTAACAGATGGGGAAATTGAAGGGAGAGATGGACCAACATGCCTAAATTTCCATAGCCGGTCTGGAACTAGGGACATGAAGTCTGGTGTTTTTCCGGCTATGACTCACAGCTTCTTTGCCTTGGACATCTTGGGATGTTTCTGGACAGTGAGGTCATTTGGTTTGTGAGGCGGCAGTAGGATGATCCATGGGGAGAACATTCATCTAGTCGCTCCTGCACTGTGTGAGCTGGTTGGCAGGTGTGTCTATAGAGAAGAGTGGAGAGAGCTGGCAGGACTTTGAAGGACAAAAGGGAACATTGCAGAAAGCACCTTCATTTGTCCTTTTGCTTGGTCAGAGGGCCCTGTCTAATAGAAGTTTCACATAATAAGGGTACATTAATATAAATGGGAAATAAATAAGCAATAACCACAACATGCACATTTTAGGATCACCTTGAAAGAAAGTTCGTAGGATTTCCCCAGGGGCTGTAGAAGGAGGGAGAGCTGGAGCCTGTCCTGGAGATACTCTTCCTCCAAGCTCTGCCTTATTTCTCAGAGCAATATGTCCCCCAGCCCCATTCCAAGGCTCTGCATCTGTTCTCCCTGACACTCATTTCAGGCTCTTGGGAGAAACCTGTCCTCTGACACTCACCATGGCCCTGGGTGGCCCCTTCCTCTTGTGAATGGTGGCACTAATGAGGGTGACATTTTCACTTACCCTCCTGTTGGCTTTGTCTTCCTTCAACAGCCTGGGCCTGGTCTCCTGGGATACCTAATTAAAAGGCTGAGAGTGCTTTTACCAATAGTCATGTTTGGAGCTGAGTACTGTATCTCTATGAAAAAAAAGTTGCAGCTTTGGACGTGTCCCAGAGGTCTACATTCTATGAGGTAATATATGCCACATCCAGTAGACTATAAGCAAACCAATTCTGACATCAGAGGGTGTTATGCACAGAGTGATAATGGATGATTTTAATGAAACCCTAACTGCATTAATTTGTTCATTTGATTAACTTATTAAACATGATCTGCTTTCTACAGTTCAGTACTATAGCTACATGCCAAATAACAACATTTTAGTCAACAGCAGACTATATATATACATATATATATATATATAAAACAGTGGTTCTGTAAGATTATAATGGAGCTGAAAATTCCTGTCACTTAGTGATCTTGTAGCCATTGTAATGTCACAGAGCAATGCATTACTAATGTGTTTGTAACAGTGCTGGTGAAAACAAATCTCTTGTGCTGCCTGTTGTAGAAAAGTGTAGAGCATACAATTATGTCCAGTACATAATATTTGATGATGATAATAAACAGTTACGTTTCTGTTTTTGTATTTACTGTACCATGCCTTTTATCATTATTTTAGAGTATGTGCATTCATTTATTAAAAAAGAAATACTATAAAACACTGTGTTGTACTCTCCCAGCAAAAGTTTTAATATCTCTTGTTTACTGTGTCTCATAACTACATCAGGAGGTTACATGAAGTGACGATCTATACCAGCTAAGTGTGAGTACATGATGTTCAAACAATGACAGATTATCTGATGGTATATCTCTCAGAGTACATCCTTTCAACAAGCGACACACGACTGTGTGCCAGGAAACAAATGTGCAGAGAAGAGGAATAGGATAAAGTTCCTGTCCTAAAGGGGCCAGTTGTATAGGATCTCTGTTGTTCATGGCTTGCACAGCATCTGTTCCTCCTTATTTCGACAATTTCACCTTGATCTTCTCTTGAGGAACCTTCCCCTCACATTTTGTAGATACAGGCATTGGGCAAAGGAACAGTGTTATGGCTTGCATCGAGATGGCCCCCCAAAGCTCAGATGGTCCTAGGTGGGGCTTTTTCAGAGGTGACTGGATCTAGAATGTGATGCTTGAACTGATTGGATTGCAATGCTAGGACCAAGGGTACTGGAATTAAGGATTGTGAGTGCTATCCACCCTAAGTAGCCTGGATAAGATATAAGGGATAGAAAGAGTTGTGGTTATCCCTTGTTGCTTGCTTTGGCCATCTTCTTCTTGTCATAAACTGGTTCTCCTCTGTGATGTGCATCTGTCAAGCCACCCTGCATTGGAGCCAGCCAGTTACGGACTGAAACCTCTATAAAGTGTGAGTTAAACAAACCTTTCTTCCTTTAACTTTGAGTGTCGAGTATTTTGTCTCAGCAATGAAAAAAGTACTAATGCAGAATTATTTTATTCCCAGGCCCAAGGCCTAAGGAAATGAGCAACACTTGATAAGCCAGAGCTTATTTTTACTTTTTCCTAGCCAGAATGATTGTTTAAAGGGGGAATATGACCCACATTTGTGTCAGAAAGTGTTGGGCCTGTGACTTTTGCCAGAGGTCTTATACAACTGTTGGGGAATTTTCCTTATACTATTCTTGCTAAGAGGTAGTATAGAAGCTTAGGAATTCTGGAGTCATTCTTGCTACCACTGGAGAGAATCTCCTTAGGAATGAAGCCAGAACAAAAATGAGTAGAACTGTGAGTAAGGATGAATCAAGTTTCCAGATGCATTCATTATTATTATTGTTATTATCATTACTATTACTATTATTATTATTAGTTTTTTTGAGATGGGGTCTCACTACGTAGTTGAGACTGACCTGGATCTCACTATGTAGCCCACGCTGCTCTCGAACTCATAGCAATCCTTGTGTCTCAGCCTCCTGAGTGCTGGGATTAAAGGCGTGCACCACCATGCCTGGCCCAGATGTATTCTTTAAGCATCTAGATTCATTGGTGGTGGATCAATACATGAATTCATAATAATTTCTTAACTCTAGTAAGAAGGAGCTTCTGTTTGAAACAAAACTACCCTTACTAACATGGGCTTCTGTTTTTTGAAACAGAACTACCCTTACTAATAATGCTAGGAGAAAGTAGAGGAGCAAGATGAATTTATGACTTACTATAAAACATTGTGACAATAGATATGTGCAGAAAGGCCTCAGCATCTAGATGGGGCACCTCACCCAGCCTGGGAGATCTGAAACAAAAAAGATTCCATGAACAGAGGCTACTTGAGTCCCTGTTATAAAGGATGCATGCACAGGTGGATGGACAAAATAAACTGAAATTATTTTTATGTATCTTGTATTTGTGTGTGTTTGTGCGGTGCTGGGATCTAACCCAGAGCCTCTCCACATGCTAGGCAAATGATGTACCACTGAGCTATATTTCCAGCCCTTTAACATAATATTTTTTAAAAATTGGTATTACATTTCAGAATTATTTGAAACTGGAGTGATTTACTTAAAAAAAACTTGGTGTTTGAAAGGGGAAATATATTTTTTGGGAAATCAGTGAATGTGAGGCAGACCATTCCTTTATGATGCCACATGAGAGCTGCTAGCTCCAGATACATCCTCTAGTTCTTTAAGAATTCCAGAAAGAAATCTGCCCACATAAAGAAGGGTGCACAGAGTTGAATGTTTATCAGATCACTTGGGAAAGTGAAAGTACAGATACACGGATCCTCACCTCTAACTGACTGAGACAGAAAAATATCTAGTGTTTCATTGAAGTTCTTCAGGTGATCTTGCTGTATAGCCAGTTTTGGGGTGTTTTATGACTTGTTTGTAGATGTCCCCACAAAGCCTCATGTCATGATAGTTGGGGCTTTTTGAGAGGTGGCTGAGTCTACAGCATATGATGTTGGGATTAAGGATATGTGATTACTAAATTAGTTTGCTGTTTGTTTTGGCATAGTTCTGGGTAGTGTTAAGGGTACCTCACACTGAGTGTAAGGGCTACTTGCCCTGAGGGGATAAAATATAAGGGACAGAAAGAGAGCTAGTGTTGTTTGTTGCTTGTCACTTGCTTGCTGCTTGTTGCCTTCTGCCTGCCCTTCTTTGTCATGGACTGTTTTTCCTTTGCAATGTCCCTCTTCATGCTACCCTGTGTTGGAGCCAGCCAACTATGAACTGAAACCTCTACAAACTGAGCTAAATAAATCTTTCCTCCTTTAACTTGGGGTGTTGGGTATTTTGTTTCAGCAACAAGACAATTAACTAACACAAGATGATTGAATATAAAGAGAGGAAAACATGTAACAATAGAAGGAACCAATATATGTAAGTTATGCGTGTTGGAACACTCTATTCCATCATTATTTTCCATATGCAGTTTCATTAGAAGGGAAACAATTACATTTATTTAACATTCACAAAGTACCTCGTAGGCTACCAGAAGCATACGAGGTGACCAATGAACATAGCAAATGAAGACTTCTTGCCAGCAGAGGCAAACCATGAACATGATTTAAAAAGTGCTGTGGCTTGTGTCCAGATGTCTCCCCAAAGCCTCATGCAATCTTTTTCAAAAGTAGTTAAATCTTGAATATGTAATACTAGGATTAAGGGTATGTAATTACTAACTCACTACAGGTGAGTGATTGGCTTGGCACCACCCTAATCCCAGTAGTCCGAATAAGAAAAAAAGTTCAGAAAGGCCCTCTGTTGCTTTTGCTACCTCTGGCCACCATGAGCTGTTTCTCCTCTGTGATGCCCCTCCTGCCTTTCTTGTTGCTTTTGCTGCTTCTGATGCCATGAACTATTGCCACCCCACCTTGGAGCCAGCCAATTATAGACTGAAACCATTATGAACTATGAACTAAATAAACCCCTTCCCCTCTAAATTTGGGAGTCATGTATTTTGTCTCAGCAATGAGATTAAAGTAACTAACATAATAAGTAATTTACATGTGTGGTAAAAGGCAATAGTGTCACGGAAAAAAGGAAAAGAGCAACATAAAGGAAACTAACAGTGCAAGAGAAGATAGGGTGATCAGGTTGTGATATTCATAGTGCTGGTCAGGGAGGACCTCACTGAGAAAACAGTTAAAACATGCACATGAAGGAAGAGAGGAATCAGTGGAGCTGTTATTCTGGGCAAGAGCATTACTGGAGGAAGGATGGGATTCTGAATCTCAAGGAATAGAGTGGGTAATGAATCCAAGTTTTTGGCCCAAATTGGAAGGTTGTAGATACTACATATGGAAATCAGTAATTGGACTGTGGATGGCTAGGGTTGGGGGTTCAGTTTAGAACACATCTTTTCAGGTATCTGCTCAATAAGTAGAAATGGGGAGGATACATTGAACATTTGGACTTAAAGTTAGGAAGAGAAGTCTTGCCTGGTGATATAAATTTGGGATTCAATATATAAGAGCTGACAAAACATTGGAACTCTAAGAGCTCAGTGATGGAGTAGTAACAGATAGGAAATAGAGGAGGCCCAAAGCTGAATCATAGAACTCTTCAGTATGAAAATTCAGGAAGAAGAGCAAGAATTAATTAAGAGTAACTGAGCAGTGATGTGGTCTTGAAGCTAATTAAAACTTCTTAGAAAAAGAAATAGCACACTGCATCAAACACTGCCAGTATTATATGTAATATGAGGCCTGAAAATTAATGATCAAAATAGAGATCATTTTTAACCTTTACAAAGAAAGTTTTGGGGCAGTGGTAGGTTAAAACTTTGTGGTATACAATACATTCCCATTATCTGTTTTTTGTAAAGATTATATTGTAATAGTGTCAATGTTGCACACAAATTATTGTTGTCATGGATGATATTTAAGAATAAATCTTAATCTCTTTTGATTTTGAAACACTTTCCCATGGTTTTATTTCCAGCTTGGGGTATTGTCTAATCTTACAAGACCAGACTGACATAATTCCAGAGATATTGATTGGTACTATGTTGAATCAATATATTAAGTTGGGAAAAATTGGCATCTCATCAATATTTAGCCCTCCAATCCATGAACATGGAATATCTTTCTATTTATTTTCTTAGAGTTTTGTACTTTCTTAGTATGAATTCTATGTTCATTTGCTAGATTTATATCTATAGATTTTCTATTAGAAATACAGTGGTACCTTGGTTCACAAACAATTAATTTCATGATTCTGGGGAAGATGACCATGTTCATGTTTGTGAGGGGAATATAGGTACTCAATGAGGAGTTAGCGAACAGAAGCAAATTTTGCTGAATGCCTCTGTTTTCAACCAAGCTGTTCATGAACAGAGGCATTACTGAATATTTTGATTTTAAATTCCAATTGTTCATTGCTTTTTTTATAGGATAGCAATATACTTTTATATAGTAATATCTCATCCTCTGATCTTGCTATCCTACATTATTAGTTCCAGGAGTTCTTTTGTTAATTCTGTGGGATTTTTCACATGCACAATCATAATTTATGACTCAAGACAGTATTACTTCTTTCCCCATCTAGGTAGTTTTTGTTTTATTCTTATATTTTTGCACTAGCTATGCCTTTAGTACTATGTTAAATAAGAGTGGTGAGGCTGGGGATTTGGCTCA